CTTAAGTGTGAAAAAACACTGGGTTAAATAAATAGGGGGTCCCATAACTCAAAGATGACCTGTTACACCCGTGTTTGCTGCCGTGAGCTTGCCTTTCTCTTCACAACCGCTCCAGCAATTCTGCTGCACCGGTACATCAGGCGGACCTGAATCCCCACGCCCTGCAAACGAAAACCATTACCCGAGAAAACGCTTACTGTATCTCCGCTAGTTGTGTCTTCGAGTCCTCCAAGACAGCCGTTCTGTCGTGGCCATGCATTCCTTGAACCCCCGCCCCCTTCCGCAGCTTATTTTGGAGAGGAGAGCTGTTTTTGGCTTCTGATCTTGCACACACGTGCGAGTGACGGATCCCTGCCTCCAGCATGGGTTCAAAAACGCCAACCCACCTCAGCTGTTGGAAATCGGGACTCGAGCGCCTTCCAAGAACATCTGCATGGAGCACGAGAGGCCAATCCGATCCCTCTCGTTTGTCCCGAGGGCTTTGAATTTCTTTTCCAACCTGCTAGTTCGATGGTTCACATTCAAATCTTCCACCTCTTTGCCCTAATGGAACGGGCCTCTTGCAGAATCGGTGCAAAAGCAGTTTTGGGAGGCTGAGCGGAGCGTGAGACTCCTTACGGAGTCGCGTGCCTCTGCGACATTAAGATTTCTACAGTGCCGATGAGATTTGCTTTAAGCATTGATGTAATGTCCACTTAAAAATCACGGTCCACAGAATTAAACTGAAGGACGTTTTCGGTGACTGCGTATTGCTTGCAATTAATGCATTTTTTTAAAAAAAGCTCTTGCCTTATGCGAGCACCTTTTTCATGACTTCAGCACAACTTGATATTTAAAAGGGAAAACAGAAATGCGACAAGGGTGGAATTGCTAATTAAAGGGGCTTGGAAAGGAGAAACTCAGGAGGCCTTTCTCCAGTTGAACGGGCAGAAATTTATGGGGGTGATTTTACATCTTAGTCCTAGGAGGCGGCTGTAATACAAGAAAGGCTTGAGAGCCACCCAGGTTGGCAACTCATCCGGGTAGGGCTGCTGGTTCAGGCAGAAATTCAGCAAATGAACCTTTCCCCATTGATGCAGCCTCCCCCAGGAATGCTTTGATTCAGATTCCTGCACAGAGCGAGCAGTGTGGAGTTACTCCAAGTGGCCTTAGCCTAACCCCAACACTAAATCCCAACCGTAATCTAGCGTTAGTGGCCAGATTCCCACAAGCCCAGCTGGACAGGAAACCCTGCAAGCTGGCAGAGAAAGGACAATGCCTGGGATGACGTAATCTGCCACTTGGGTACTACTGGAGGGCCAACAGCTATTTTCCCAAGGGGAGGAAGGAATAAATGAATGCACGCTATGCGCTATATTCGCTGATTCAGATTTCTCTAGGCGAAAGTTTCAGGGCCAGTGCTCCATCCTCAGATCCTCCTGGACCATTTTGGCGAGCAACGGTCCTCCGTCCTGCAGCCCAAACCCCGAATCTGGGGGATCAGAGAGATTGGCCACTTGAAGGTCACAGCTAGATTTGCGGGCTTGCCACAAGTCTGCAGGAGGCAGGAAGTCAGTGTGAAGTACCACAAGCAGGCTAGTGAACCAAAAGACCAAACTGAGCCCCTGGCCGAGAGAAGGCTGGCTGGCCACTGCAGGAGAACTCGCTGAGAGTTTACCGTTGGCTCAAAGGGGCTACCTTGTAAATTGTTCGGCTGTGAACACAGAAGGGAAGAATCCAAGAATCACCTCTAAAATCACCTTTCTGGGCCTCCGTTCATGCTCCAGGTAGCAAGGCCAACCCTATATCAGACATGCTCAAGCCTCCTTCAAGTTGAGCTCAACCTCTGGTGATGACACGGATACATTTGAGCAGTTTTACCAGCAGGGACACGGAAGTGGTTTCCCATTATCGCCTGGGACGGGGGTTTTGACTTGGGGGAGCCTCCCACCCGAGTCTGATGCCGCTGAACCTTCAAGCGAGGGTCTGCCGAGCCCAGCAGCGATAAAAAAAAGACAGAGGTGCACAGGTATCCATAGGGTTTAATCTGGTCTGCTCGGGGAGACCTACAGAATAGAGTCAACAGAGGGAGGCAGAAGGAGAAAAGAAGTGGAGAGACCAAACCAAATCATGATGCAGATTTAAACAGGTCACAGGAAACCACACTGGAACTTCAAAATACTGAGCTCTGTGGAAGGGGAGAAGGAAGGAGACGCCACAGGACAGAGCAGGGTTCAAAAGCCTTGCAAACACACAGTTCTTTCCTCATTGCTGAAGACGTACAGGGGGGTATTTTAAAGAGCCGTTCCTGGGAGTGCTTAACGCAGCCTGTTGGGCTCCAAAGCCAACCGCTAGGAGTGGAGTGGGGAACCTACAGCCCCCCATGTTGCTGAACTCCAACCCCAAGCAGGTTCTGGTTCCCAATGTAGTCTTCTTCCACATAGTCCTAGCTGCTAGGCAAGTGTTTCTCACCCTTAGCCGCTTTAAGGCGTCTGGACTACAACTCCCAGAGTTACCCAGCCAGCCATGCTGGCTGGGG